GGGATGATCAGACATTTATACTAAAAAAAAAAGAAAAAAAGATACAAATATTGATTAAGAAGTGCAAGCGGCAGTTCTGTTAACTGGCCCTAAACTCTCTGCCATCTTTATCACTGAGCTCTATATTGACTTTTATGATCAGTGTTTCTGTCACACAGGGGCATTTTCACACCTTTGTCTTCTGTCTGCTGAGGACTGGGGGGAGAAAATGTAGAGAAACACAACTGTGGCTATACTTAGTCGGTTTGACAATTTGTAATCACAACATGAGAAAAGAAAAATAAGTGAGCGACAGAGCGAGAAAGGAAAGAGAGAGAGAATGAGAGTCCACTAGATCAGTGATCGTGTGGGTCTTACAAGTCTTATAACAGATTTGAATGCATTTTATATTAACCCATAAAACATTATGTATCAACTTCCTCAAGGCTACTAAATAATTCATTATCTCTAAGAGCTTCTTTTGTTTCATATTTGATAATCAAGTATAGCTTAACAATAGCCAGTGTTTTTACCCAGGCTTGTGTTGCCATGGTAACCATGAGTGTGGCCAAGAGTCAACCCTGTCACCAGACGCTTCGCTCCTGTCCCATACTGTCTGTTTTTCCTTCTTTTGTACATTTCGCCACACAATGCTTTGAATCGCAACGAATGGCTCAGGTGTGACATGCTGAACTGCAGAGGCTAACATTGCTCGATTAATAACGGCCGAAATATGCGAGCAATATATAAGCTGCAGCATGCTGCGTGGAGTAGGAATAGCAGGGCTAGCGTGTTGCTCTGGTGATCACGATCATTCTGCGACACCGCCCACCTCACCAACCTAATTTTAAAGAAAGTCACACATTCCCACGTTGTGAGGTGGCGGTATCGAGTGTCCAACCAACACTTTCTCTGATCAACCCCTTGGGTGGGATGGGAGGGGGAGAGGACCTTCATTTCTTTCCTTTCTTCTCATTTCGTTTAATGAAAGTAAAAAGGCTCATAAAATACTGTGATGGCACCTTGTGTTTTTAACCATGAATAACATTTTTTTTTTAAAAATCAATTTTTTTTTGCAAATGATGAAGTCGGTGGGGGCTGCCAGAGGGTGCCAGGAGGTCTGAAAAGTTCAGAAAGAATAGAATAGAATAGAAGGAAGCTCACTAGAAAATTCCGAAGAATAAAGCTCTTAGATTTATGATTACAACTATAAAATAAAATAAAAAAAATTAAAAACCTTAATTCAGTCTTATGTAATTGTTCTTCTAAAGTAAACTGATCTTGTTTAAGGTATGTTCAGATATTTATACTGAAAAACAAGAGTACCTTAACTGACCCAAAACTTTCTCATTTCATTCTATAAAAATAAAAAGGCCCATAAAAATACTGTGATGACACCTTGTTTTAACCACAAATAAATAAATACATACATACATACATACAACTACATTTTTTTTTTTCAAAATTATGATTTTAGAAGGTGCTAGGAGGTCCCTAGGAAATTTCAGAATAGAATAGAATAATTTTACTAAACCTTAAAGTATTCACAAGCTAGCCCATTCCTCTGTAACAATTGCAGCACAAACTTTCCCATGCAGCTTGGCACTGCTGCACGCTCACCTGGCAGTGGGGGTGTTCAGTCTCGGAGAGCAGGGCGTGGAACCTGGAACCAGAGTGAGATCAGGGCTCTTATCATATGATCCTCAAGACAATTTCAAAAATTGTGATTTCAAGCTGTTTTGCCATGTAAAAATCATGTTGCCATGGTGTTGCTAGGTAGGATACATATGCGGTTGCTTACTGGCTCAGTTAAATATAGGGGTTTGTTAAAATCCTTAAACCTAATTGGGAACTGTAGTAATTGTGATGCTTAAATTTGCATTCACCACAAAATATTGGATTTATATCATGAGTGTACTATGAGTGGGCTACAATTAAAGGACCAACAAATCTGTTGTAAACCAAAATACTACATATCACTGCAAAACTAACCAGCTGACAAGTGTAAAGTCTGAAAAAGTAACTTTAACCTTGTCACATACCCTGAATGCGTGAAAGCATGCATAGAATGCATAATCTGTTGGGATGAATGAATATTGTGCTGTGACATTAAATGTGTATATAAACGGTAAACAAGTCCACAGTTTTCCTAATGAACTGGGCTACTATTAACTGTTGCCACAGGTAGATTTTTTTGTGGGTTAATGGTTTGACAAATTGTATAAATTATATTTGACTGAAAAGCTTTTATTGAAATATTTTACTCTACCAATTTATATTCTACCACTGATAAACTGTGCTAGATGACTGTTAGGGAGCCTGTGTGCAGAAATATAAGACAAGCACCAAGAAGCACCATTATTATTATTATTATTAATTATTATAAAAAAACACTTTTTTATTATTACAATTTTTTACAGTGATGAAATTGAACGTGCTATTTATAAAGAATAACAGTGACTAATATATGTATTTTAGGTATCTGAGTTTTAGAACTTGGGCTAGTTTTTGGGCTAGCTTAGTCATTTGGGTTATTTTTTTTCCCCCTCCTCCTAAAATGTTCTCCCACTTACACACACACTTACACAGACACACATAGATTCTCCATTAAACAAAAACACCTGGACACGACCCTGACACACAACACCAACACTGCCCCCTAGAATGAGAGCTCTTGCTAAAGAATACACAAATACAGTGTGTACATTGCGCTCAATGGGAATCAAACCCCTGGAGATGTTCACAACCATGCTTTACCAGACGAGCTGCAGGAAAGCAATCACTATACATTTATCTGCAAGAATACGAGTTAGATAGTGCTTCTCATTATAATTCTGTGAATTATCTACACGCTTTATAGTCAAGTAAATGAAGACCACAAAAAGACCACAATTTAGTGCTTCATAACAGTTTGAAACTATCAGAGAATTTAACAAATAAAAAGACCGCATGAGAATATAACAAGTCCAGCACATGGTGCCATTAAATGATTCTAGGCTACCTTAAAATTACTGTTTTCCATCCCAGGAGAGAGAGGGGGGGTGGACGGGTTGTTCTGCTACAACAGACACCTGCCAGCACTGTCAGGCACACACACACACACACACACACACACAGGTTTGTTTTTATGGTTTATGGGGACTCTCCATAGGTGTAATGGTTATATTCTATTATATATTCTATATTAGAATATTCTATCGCCCTACACCAACCCTACCCCTAAACCTACCCCTTACAGGAAACTTTCTGCATTTTTAGATTTTCAAAAAAACTCATTCTGAATTATTTATAAGCCTTTTGAATTACGGGGACACTGAAAATGTCCTCATAAATCACCTTCTCGTTGTAATACCTATGTCATACCCATGTTATTATACAAATTTGTGTCCTCATAAACATGCACACACACACACACACACACACACTACTAACACTACTATCAAGACACATTACAATCTGTATATCTACAATAGTATAAATAACGCCACTGGCATGTTAATTAACTCATTGTTCAATTTATTCAAAAACTGAGGTCATCATGATGAGGGTCAGAGAGGTGGAGAAAACCTAAAAAGTCTTTGGCAAAGGAAGTTGTCATGTTTCCACTGGCTTCATTCTATGTAGATGGGCATGAGGACAGTTCCTTACATAACCAGTTCTTCTGCTCAACTGGCTCATTTTTGCACTGCAGACTGTTACAACGCCATAAATACATGAATGTCATTTTAAAACAGCGTGACGATTAGAATTAATTACGTTCTTATGTGTCGTAATATAAATTGAATTAGCGTGGTTAATTTCACACGTAATTGCGCTGATAAGTAAGATTTATTGTCATTAACAGTCTGAATTCGACATTTTCGCCTGTACTGTAACAAATATTTCCAACTAACCAATCAGATTCGGGTGCACCTGTAGCAAGCAAGAGCCGACACGGCGCGAACAAGCGTTATAATAATCAATACAGAGTGCCACATTCTTCTGACAGACGCGCTGAATGCTACATTGTTGCGCGTAACGCTCGATTCAAATGTATCAGTTCAGAGACGCGCGTTCGAACACGTTGTTGACGTCCATCTGTAAACCCGCTGATGCTCCGCTGAGTCAAACAAGCGGGGTCGCTCCCCTTAAAACCAAGCCGTCAGCGAGGAGAAAATGGAGGAAGACGGAACTGACCAGCTTTAAGGGGGCAGACGGGGGAAAAAGAGACAATAACCCGAGGAGCAGCGTCTTGTGTCACCTAACGCTTCCCTCAGCGAGCACTCGAATACACTCCGCTCTCTGCAAGTTGAGGGAAGGGCTCCGAGTCCATGGATTCAATTATGCAGGACATAAAATAATAGAAAAGTGAGTCGAAAAAAAAATCCCCTTCCCTTTTCTGGTAGTAGGTTTAGGGTGTTGACGCAGCAGAAATTTCCAGCTGGAGAAATTCCCCTTTTGGAGGTTAAATGAGGGGAGGATAGAGTGGGGTTAAACCCTTGCCTGCCAAAGCTGAGCTTTTCATTTAAATACCACCACCACATGCACTGACCCCCAAAGGGCATGGTTTTAGGATTAAAACTTATGGTAAATGTTATAATATATAAATAGCATTAAGTTCCTAATGGTGAAATATGAAGTAACGCCTAATCAGCGCGTTCAAAAGGTTGACAAGACAAAAAAAGAAAGTCTCCCATCACTCCAATAAAACTCTGTCCTGAATGAATGACTGCACATCTGACAGCTGTTCGCAGCGCGTGCATCATCTGTCGTGAGCATGTTCTCACCTGGAGACGTCAAACAGGTTGCTGTCACGCAGACCACTTCAATGACTTGAAAATAACGCAAACGCACCGGCCTCGCGGAAACTCACAACTTCAACTTACCTGGATGCCTGTGTTGAGGCGCGAGCTCATGCCTCTGCCATACATCCAGATGACAAGTCAAGCATGACAGTAAAAGCGCTGGGAGTGAAGCCTGTGCGGTGGTCAGAAGGGAGGAAGGGCTGTTAGAGATAGAGTGGAAAGGTGAGAGAGGCATACCTGTTAACCCATGAGTTCTGGGGGGAGCGCGATGTCGATGCTTTGGAGCTCCAGTATTTCGCTCGTGACAGGTTTGAGAGAGTGAGCACGTCAACAATGTCAGCAGTCAGCGGGGAGACGCGTGTGTGTCGGTCAGTGTAATTCCCCTGCTCGCTGTCTCCCTCTCTCCCTCTCTCCACGCTCGTCTTTTTCTGTGATTCTCCCTCCCCTGCTTTTCCGTGTCTCGGTATCAGGAACCACCCTCCCCCTCTGTGTGTGTGTCTCTAGCTCTCTCTCTCTCTCTCTCTCGACTGAGAGTCAAATACAGGAAATGAGGCAAACGCTCGCATTCACCATCAAACCCTGGACAGCTCCAGCTGAACTCATACAACCATGAAGCCTCCAGGTCAGTTATGAATGTACAGAGGGCAACACCTTATTAGTAAAAGATGCTTAGCGTACTAATAAGACAGGTGGAATACGGGTGAATTTAATTTCGACTCAAACAAATAGCAAACATAATTGTATGAAAAAAAATGTAAATAACAAAATACAATCAAAATAATTCAATCCGTGTCAATTTTATTTATAACCTGTACATGACGTGTATATATATTTTCAAAATTATTTTT